GTGCTCAGACAGCAGCTGAGCTGGGGGGGTTTTGGTAATTCCCGAGATTCCCTGATCCCGGGGGAATTGTGTAAAATACACGGGACATGCGAGATGTCAGACCGTGCTGGGAGTGAGGAGCACTGTGAGGTGCTGGTGGCACCAAGGACAAAGGACGGTGATGTCCCTGCAGAGGTTTGTGTGAGAAGCTCCARGTCTGTTGCGGTGGGAAGAAAAACTGGGGAAAAATCTGAGAAAAGCTGAGTGGGAAGAGAGCCATAYTAAGGCACAAAATCATTCTCATTTCAGACTTTTTCCCAGTTTTTTTCCCCTATCCTGTTCCTCCTCTTTCCCATCTTGCAATGTCTTCTGCACTTTGACTTTCCCCCCTTGCAAGATCTCGCATTTAGGGCTCTGGGCTGTGTTTGTGCTGGGAAATGCCTCAGTGTCAGGCTGAGCTCCTTCAGGATGGGGATGCAGGATGCTGAGCACGGCTGGGTGGACAGAAGGTCGCTGGTACCACGCAGGAACGGAGGGTTTGGGGCTCAGCATCTGAAGAGAGCGCTCCACACTTTCCTTCTGAAATAGGGGAAGAAACTTTTCTTCGTGTGAAAAAATCCTGTTCAACCTCAGCACGGGAAGGAGAGTGTGGAAAAGGAGGAGGAATTATCCCCGTGAGGCATCGCCGGGCTCTGCGAGCCCCGTGAGATCGCGTCTCTCCGGCGCGGATGTGGCGAGCGGCTCCGAGCCGAGCGGCAGTGYCCCGGTGTGATTTACAGCGCCCTGAGTCACCGCGGCACAAACAGCCCGCCTTTCTTCCTGCTGCTCCCCCAAAACAATCCCCGCTTGTTAGGGCAAATATCGCCCGCCGGGCAAGGGGCCGCGGCCGCCGGCGGCGGGGACATCGCCTTCCCCCGGTTCCCACCCCGGTGGAGGGCAAGGCTTGTTTCCTTTCTCTCCTTAGACACGAAAACACAACCAGTCTGCGTGACCGAACTGGTTTGTCGGCCGCTCTGGTATTCGCAGGGGAAGRTTTGGCCAAGCCCAGTGTTTTTCCCTGTTTTCCCCCGAGTGCTTTGGGTCGCTTTCAGCAGTTTTGGTGGTGCAGCTCCTCGGGGTGCRGGGCAAAGCTGCCAGCTGGTTCACAGTGAGTTATCGCAGAATCACGGGATGGTTTGAGTTGGAAAGGACCTTAAAACTCATCTCGTTCCACCCCTGCCATAGGCAGGGACACTTTCCACTCTCCCAGGTTGCTCCAAGCCCCGTCCAGCTGATTACTGAAACCAGAAGGGGTTTTAATTAGACTGATGCGGTCCTGGCTTGCTGCCTCTCAACTCCAGAAGATGGAGTGTAAAAATAAAAGGAGTTTAGAAGACCCCCAACGCCACATTTTCAGTGGCAAGTGGGTTATTAGTGGATTATTCAGTGCCCAAGTCGATTTTTAGGGGTGGTAGGTGGGAGARGAGATTCCTTAGGACTGGATTAGCACAGCAGGGGAACATCCCAGCGGCCAGATGGGGTTTGGGRCTCTAAGCACCCTCCATCCCTGGTGCACATGAGAATGAGCCGAGGTTTCAGTGCCTTTTCAGCGGGAGAACAACCAAGCTGTGTGCTCGCTAATGTCCCTTCTCGCGTGTCTCTGCGTCTCTAYAGATATAATATTTATAGAGATATTTATACACACACTTAAACAAAAGGGGCGCGAGGGCTCTGCCTGAGGATTTGCAGGGATGAGCGAATGAGCGTTTTTAATTGCTGGGACGCYTTCTGGAGGCAGCTCGCAGATCCGATGGGCAGGAGGAGCCGCTGCTCCTTCAGTGACCACGCCAAAACATCCCCCAGGGCCAGTTCTCCTTGCATATGCGCGGGGAGAAAATAGGACGAAAATCAGGAGCCACTGTGTCCGTTTTGATGGGGAGATGAGACGGGATGGAGCCTGGGGATGCTGATAATCCACCTGGGCGGCCTCATGATTTAAAACATTTTTAAAAAGCTTTGGAGGTGCAGCTTGTGGTCAGCATCCTCTGTAAATGCAGAACAAACCCACCCTTCGGCAGGATGGGATCCCTCCCCTCCGCTGCTGAGGGGTGGAGGGGACAGATGGGGATTGAACCAGGCAGAGCAGAGGCCCCGCGGCCAGCAGAGCCCAGTGAGGCTCCTCCGGTGCTTAAGTGGTGGAAAGGAGCCGGAGCCGGAGTGTCTGGAGGGGAGAGCGGGCAGGAGCGGAGCCTGCAGTCTCGGCACTCTCGTTATCCCCGTTTCCAGGCAGGGAGGGCTAATTGTGTTTGCCGCTGGCTGGCTTCCACYCGGCATGCCTGTGGTCCAGGGCAAGGTGTTTCCTTGGCTTTAGCCGAGGCTCAGATGATTTCCAGGGTTGAAACAGGCTCGGCATCAGAGCCCTGAGATGGGAAAGGCCCCTCTGTCTCCCCCAGACTGTCCTCCCGCTATTCCCGGAGGCTTCTGTGCCCCGGCGGTGCTCGCAGGCAGCCGATCCGTCCTCTCCCTCCCTCCCTCATGCAGAGGGGGAGCAGGGCATATTTCACATTAATGGTTCTCTTGGTTTCCTGCTGTTTTTCTTCTCCCATTGTATGGAAAGGAGCATTTCCCCGTCTGGAGCAGAAGGGAAGGGGCTCTCCCAGCACGGCCAGGCTTTTCATTGCAGCCTCTGGAGAGGTTCAGTGGGCTGGTGCCAACTTCCAGCCAGCCCTGCCAGAGCCTGGGGGGYTGTGCAGTGCTGGGGGAGCCTTGAGCATGGTCTTGGGTACATGGGGCTCTTGGGTACCCCTGGACCCAAAAACGCAGTTGAATTTGTATGTTCTGCACTCTGATAAATACCTGGAGGAGTGGGGGATCAGCACATCCCTCTCCTGGAGCTCTGTGTTTCCAGGGCTACCATCACCCTTACCAGACAGTAGATGTGTCTAGAAAATTTAATACAATTTCTCSTGATGGTTTTGCAGCCRGAGAGGTGGCYCAGGCCAGAAACCACAGKGAAAATGCTGCTTTGCTTGGGCTTCCAAAGCTCAAGGAGGGCAGGAGTGATAAACTCAGTGGCCTCTGTGCTTTCTGGTGCTGCTCAAGAGCAGCTGCTGGGACAGGGGTTGCTTTTTTCACTGTGCACCCTGACRTGTCCAGATTCAAGCCTTCATGAGATCATGCTGAGGGAAAATCATTTTCATGCTTTAAGGATGGGATTGTGTTGGGTTACAGGCATAGAAACAGCTTCAGGTTGTGCTGAGCRATTGCAAAATTGTGTTAGAGAAGGTTCAGACCGTGATGTGAAAGCTGGGACTTTCCATCCGGGTGTTCTCAGCTCACATTTATCTGCAGTGATGTCACCACTGGATCTTCACTCCATACCCTTATATGTAACTGGGGATTTAGTAATTCTGGAGGAGAACTCCGTAAAAGCACCAACACGGAGGGAAAGGGCCAGATTTCTTCTCCTCTCCAGGCTAATCTTGTAGGGCTGCAAGCCACCCCATCCCCATATCCTCCATCCCTGCCTGCACATCCCGAGTTTCTGCTGGGTTTTTGCTCCCCATAAATGTGGGGTTATCCCGGTGTGCCTGGGGGATGACAAATCCAGGCTGTTTCATGCATTCCTGGGCAGAAGGATGTGGTTTGTCCTGACAAACAAGCCAATGCCCTTATCTGCCAGGTGGCCCCTGTGTGATTTACCCTGACTCACCGGACCAGTGTGAGGTGTCTGGGCCATTCTCAGGCTCTYGCTGCTGCAGCCTGGCGCTGCTGGAACCAGCTGCTGGTGCCGGTGCCTCCAGCTGAGACAGGCTGCTTCGGTGGGRAAAACAGCCAAATTCTTTGTCTGGGGCTGGGTGAAAAGCGTGTCCAGGCAGGAATCTGTGCCGGTGCTCAGCCGGAGGGGGATGCTCCGGGTGGAAGGGGTGTAAAGGAGGAGACGAGACGGGAGGAGATGAGGTGTGCAGAGCACACGTGGATGTGCCCGCGGGGAGGTGGCCGAGAGGGGCTGACGAGTGTGGSGATGACGGGAAGGTGACTGTTCATGGAGAGGAGGAGAAGGAGAGGCCCTGGCACACCTCAGGACTGCCACATCCGTGAACCATTCCTGCTCTTAGCCAGGTGACGAGGCCCGGGAAGAGCTGCTGCCACCTCTGCAGGGACATAACGGAGAATTGGGTCACCCGCAGTCCGGAGCAGCGCTGAGTGGAGGTCAACACTCCAACCCCCTCCTTTTCCCGGCCCTGAGATGAGCGGGGAGGGAAACAGCTTCAAAAACACCCGTTTTCCCAGAGGGCACCGGCCGTGCTATCTGGGCCAGCCCGTGACATTCCTGGCKCTCAGCACACCTCTCCTTCGGGATGCGGGGAAAGGAAGCCGCCACTTTCACTTTTTATTCTTCTTCTTATTCGCTGCTGTAACCGCGACTCCGCCGCACCAACAGGATGCCGGGCAGCTTGTTTGTGTCCCGCAGACATCCCTGGCRGCGGGGCAGGCGGGCGTGGAGCATTCCTGTCACCCCCGGCTATTAACTCCTCCAAAAGCCGGCGACCAGCCCGAGCCGTTTATTTTCCTTAACATTCAATTTAAGTGCTGGAGCGAGTTCACAGAGGCAATCTCCGTCCGTGTCARTGGCCGATAAGAAGAAGAAGAATGGTTTGGCAGAGCCAATTGCCCCCGGAGCGTCCCCACTTTGCGGCAGCACATCCTGCGTGGGAACGCGGGGAGGCTGCAGCCTGACCCCGTCTCACCCCGCCCTGTTCGTGGCCACGGCACTCTGGCCTTTGTTTGAATCGCTGGGTAGAGCCCGGGCGATCAGAGCTGTGGGTTTGGTCGCCTCTGGCTGCGGATGACACSGCAGCAGCGGGTTTTGATCTCTCTCGGCACGGCGTTTCCTCCTACGCCTCCATCGTGTCGTGGCCAAAAACCCCAAGAGCCATCAAAAAACGATGGGGAGGAGACACTCGTGATCCTCTACGGGCGCAGGAGGCGCGGCTGCTTGAGGCGCAGAGCTCTCAGTAAAATAAATAAATAAAATAAATSGGCATTTTGTGTTTGCGGCCCTGTTTGCCATCGCTTCTCCTTTTTCCCCCCTTCCCAAGCCAACACGTGCTCTGAGCTGCACCTTTCCCGTTTTTTTCTTGCAGCTCTTCCTGGAGAAATACGGCTACTTCAGCGAGCCGGGGGCCGGCGGGCACAGCGCCGCCGAGTTCACCGAGGCGCTGAGGTAGGAACCTTTCATTCACGGTCAAAATTCAGCAGCTCCAGCTGCAGGGGTGCTGCCAACACTCAGAGGGGCTTTTTGCAGCCAGAGGGGTCTCTCTGCAGCTGGAGGCTCTCTCTCTCACGGTCCGATGCTGAAGCACAGCCGGTCCTTTCGGGAAAGGCGGGTCTGTGCCCCGTTCCCGCAGCTGGGTGCCGGCTGCTGGCACCCTGCGCTCGCTGTTTTATTTGCCTTTTATGGCCCGGAGCTCGCCTCGCAATAAAATCTGCGGGGAGGCCGAGCTTGGGGACGGCTGCGAGATGTCAGGGGGGGCGAGCTGCCAGCTCCTGCCTGGGCTGYTCCTAAGGACATCACCTCGGCTCTGGGAGCATCCCGGGCGTGACCTTATGCAAAACCAAATGCAAAATGAAATGTAACGTCGAATAATTGGGGTTAAAAACTGGAAGAGGCATTTTTTAGGCTCCCCTATCTGTTTTTGCCCTGCCAGGAGGTGATTTACAGGTCAGCTGCGGTTGCAGAGCCAAATCCCTCTTGTTTTATCAACGGGATGAAGTTCTGAAGCTTGTGGGGTGAAAATCCTGTGTCAGGTCAAACCCCCGGCACAAACACAACCAAACCCTGCCACGGGAGGGTGCAGATGTGGGTGCTGATATCTCCCTTCCTTTTCCAGGGATTTCCAGCGGGTGACCCACCTCCCGCTCAGCGGGGTGCTGGATGCCCCCACCCTCCATCAGATGGCTCTGCCGAGGTGCGGCACCGACGACGGGGACAGCCGCACCACCGGGACACACCGGGCACCGCCCGCCCGGCGCCGCAGGCGCACGGCACAGCACGGTCAGCGCCGCCACCGAGGGTCCCGCTGGAATTTGGGCTCTGGGATGCTCGGTTCTCCCCTCCTGGGGATGCTGATGTGGGTGGGAGGTGCAGCCCTGCTGGCACAGCGCCCATCCCAGGACTGGCTCAGGGGTTATTTTTAATCCTCTTTATTTTTAGTTGCTCTGCGTGGCTTGATGTCRGCAGTGATTGGAGATGCGGCTCCCACTCGTGGGGGAATTCAGCTCCCCGGGGTGGTTTTAGTGCTGTCGWGGGAGCCAGAATATCTCCCAGGGAGCCCTCAGGTCACCAGGGCCCCACACACAGCTGTGCTGGCGTGGTCTGGAGGGCAGTGACTATCACACAGAAGAGTTATCTCCAGGTTTTACTGGGCTTTGGGATTTTAAACACATTTTAGCGACCCAGCAGTATCCACAAACCCTGCCAGCACTTGGCTGCATGACCCGAGAGCCATTTCACCCATGTTAAGGGGTTTAACTCTGTGCTCCTGTGTGTCCAGGATGGGGCCTCTCATCCCTTGTGAGCTCCCTTTGGGCTTGTGGATGAGTAACTGAATTCCTAGAGAGCAAGGGGGCCGGGGCCAGCTGTGCTTAGGACATGGGAAAAACGAAGGCGAGATTAAGAAAAGGCTCTGTGCCGTGTCAGGCTGTGTCTGCATCTGGCAGGGCTGGCGATGGAGGGCCCCAGGAGAGCCCTGTCATCCTCCTCCAGCCTCTGGATTCCCTTCCAAGGCCAACATSTGGTGTGGCCCTTGCAGGAGCCATYCTGTGCCCRGGACAGGTGTGCAGCGAGGCAGAGCAGGGAGGACACRCAGCAGATGGGCAAAGAGAAGCAGCTGCTGCCCTATGGCTCATGGGGTTCCTTTTTGGGGTCCACAATCCGTGGGTGGGTGGCAAGAGATGGCTCCAGCCCAGGCAGGGAAGGGCTCAGTGTGGTGCTGGTCATTTCCCTGGTGGTCTGATGCCAGGGGATCAGGGATGGGAGCGGTGCCACATCGGTGTCCGCAGGCTGGACAGGGGACAGGGGGTGCCTGCAGGGCTGGTGGCACYGGCCAGGAAGGCTGGAGGCTTTGTTTGTCCTGCTTGGAGCARGAAACCCTGGCAGCTGAGCCAGCAAAGTGCTTTGTTTCCCACCCTTTTCCCATGGGATCTTCCCTGGTCGGTCCTCTCATCTGTCTGTCCATCCATCTGTCCATCCATCACCCCGCTGGCTCAGGGCACACTCAGGGCCCAGCACAGGGGAAAAGCCAATCCCTCCTCTTCCCAAGATCCAGCCATGCTTCTCTGACCCAGCCCTGCCTGCTGATGCCATCCATCCTCCTCTGGGGTAGATGCTCTGCTCCTGTGGGATGCAGGGCTTTGTTTTAGGGCTGCAGCCCTAAACCCTGCACGTTTTACCCTTTGCCACGCAGGGTATGTCCCAGCTGGGGAAGCGCATCCATGTCCCTTTGGAGCTGAAGGCCATCACTGCTCTGACTGATTCTGTCCCCAGGAGTGTGACCAGTGAGCCCAGAGTGTCCCCTGCCATGGGCTGCTCAGAAATGGGGCAGAGGGAGGCACAGCTGGGCTGGAATGTCCTCCAGTTTTGCTGGGAGGCTCAGCTCAGAGCCAGAGCAGTGAGCCTGGGCRTGCTCCACCTCTGTTCATCCCTTTCCCTGCACATCTGGAGCAGATGCAGATGCTGGAGCTCTGTCACYACTCCCACCCCTCAGCACTGGCTCTGGCACCCACATCCCCCTAGGGCCCCACTGCCTTTTTCCCGCTCCTAAACACCCCAGAGAAATGTAATCCCTGGGGGTCCCACGGCTGCTGAGGGGTGCTGGAGGAGGAGGAGGAGGAGGAGGAGGAGGAGGAAGAGGCAGAGGGGCTGTGATGCTGCACAGCCACTGTGTGAACTCACATCTTTGCTCTCCTGTGTGGTAGAAGGGTTGGGAGCTTAGGGGCAGAGCATGGCGTGTCCCTTCATCCTTGCCACACTGCCCTGGTGGCACTGGGCCATCCCCCGGTGGCATCTGTCTCAMCTGAAAGCTTTTAAGGAATCTTTGGGCACCAAGCTCTTGTGCCCCCAAGGTGCTGCCACGAGCCCTTCCCACTCCTCTTTTCAGAGGTGGCTTTGATTTCTCCCTCTGAAATCCAACCCCTGGGCTTCATCTTTGGGACACGAAGCTGACATTGAGCAGGAGTCCTTCCAGCAGGGACCCATGCTGGATTTAACTCTGGAGAGAGCTGAGTTCCAGCTGAGTGCTGCAGCTTCCCCTCTCCTCAGAGAGCTTTTAGGGTTTGGCTGGGTGGGCTCCAGTGGTGGCACCTTCAGAAAGATTTCACAGTGGCGCTGAGGCYGACGGTGGCTTGCCCTGACTTCCAGCCTTGTCTTGGGAAAACCACAGCATTTCCATGAAAATTCCCTCCACTCAGGCAGCCCCTGGGCGGAGAAACAAGCCCGAGTGGCCGCTGGCACGCTGAGCTGGCCCCCTTTGCAGGTGGGCGGTGGTACAAGCGGCACCTGACGTACCGCGTGGTGAACTGGCCGTCCTACCTGCCCCAGCACGAGGTGCGCTTGGCCGTCAGAGCCGCCTTCGAGCTCTGGAGCAACGTGTCCTCCCTGCTCTTCTGGGAGGTGCAGGACGGCCCGGCCGACATCCGCCTCACCTTCTTCCAYGGCGACCACAACGATGGACTCAACAACGCCTTCGATGGGCCAGGTGCTGGTCGCTCCCCCCTCGTAAGCTGCTCTTTTACAACGTGGGCTCTTCCCCTCCTGGGCTCGTGGTGGGCTGGGGGTGATGGAGGCACTGCAGTCCCTCTAACCCGGTCTGCACCAATTTTCTGTCTGATTTGGGGTCTCCCCTCCTCACTCTGTGGCTGAGATGTTCCTTACAGGTCTCCCTATTTGACAGCCCCCTCCAAAAAAAAACCCTAAACCCAACACGCGTTTAGGCTGCTCCGCGGGCCCTGATGTCTCTCGTGTCCCCAGGAGGTGCCCTGGCTCACGCCTTCTTCCCCCGGCGAGGAGAGGCKCACTTTGACAGCGCCGAGCGCTGGTCCCTGCACAGCGGCAAAGGGCGCAACCTGTTCATCGTGGTGGCCCAYGAGGTGGGGCACACGCTGGGGCTGGAGCACTCGCCCGTCAAGAGCGCCCTGATGTCTCCCTACTACAAGAAGCTCAGCAAGGATTTTGTCCTCAGCTGGGATGATGTCCTGGCTGTTCAGAATCTGTACGGTGAGCGTGGCTTCTCTGAGCGTTCCTCGCTTCCTCCAGGCCTGTTCCTCGGGGTGGGAGCAGGTCCCTGGAAGGGGACAGGGCTGCATTCTCATGGGTCACATCTCTGTGTGGCTGGGGAGGACAATGCAGGGTGTGTGGGGCAGGAATCAAGGCCTCTGGGGCAGGGAAGGTTGGATTTGCTGCCCCTTTGGCTGCTGGTGCACATTTTTGGGGTACCAAGAGGGTTTTGCCACCACCATATAGAGGGGAACAGGAGCCAGGCAGTGTTTGGAATCTTGGGAGGGCTCCCCAGCACTGTGCTTTGGGAAAAGTTGTTTCTCTACATTTCTCTTCACCCCTTGCTCCATCCCAGGGAAGCCCTCCAAGGGTTCAGCCGTCCAGCTCCCAGGAAAGSTCTTCACTCACTTCCAGGACTGGAATGTGGATCTTTACGGCAGGGACCGGCAGCAGAGGAGCCTCAGCACCTATTACTGCCACTCCTTCTTCGATGCCATAACAGCTGGTGGGTGTTGGCTGGTGTCACCCTCTCCCAAAACTGCACCCCTACCCCTTGTCCCAGTGCTGCTGCAGCTCCCAGTGGCAGGAAAGGTGGGTTTGACTGGTCCAGAACTCCTGRGACTGGTGGAGCAATGCACCTTGAGGGCACAGGGATGCGTCAGGAGCAGGGAAACATCCTAAAACTCGGGCTGTGGCAGGGACGAATGACTGCAGGAGCTCAGCTGTGCAAGACAAGCCTTGAGCCATGGTCAACTTTTATCCTGTCAGGCCTGGAGTGGATGGAAAAAAAAATTACGGAAGCTGAGGTTGGAAAGGCAGGAGGAAACATCCAAACCCTGGGGATCCCCAAAGCACCACGGGGCTGTGTGGGGAGGAGAGGGGCGCTGGGCAGCAGGGTGGGGTTGTGGATTGGGAATTCTCACCCTCCCTGTGCCCCACAGATGGGGATCACAACCTCTACATCTTCAAGGGCAGCCACTACTGGGTGGTGTCGGCGAGTGGCAATGCCAGTGACCCTCGGCCACTGCAGCCGCGCTGGCCCGGGCTCCCCGCCGGCATCGACGCCTGCACCTGGTCCCGGCTCAGCAGAAAGTTCTACTTCTTCAAAGGTGGGACAGGCCTGGGGGGTCCCTCGGGGCTGYCACTGCCCCTTCCTGTGGGGCTCCTTGTCCGGGTCGGGCTGGGGCAGCTTCTCCTGTTGCTGTCCCCTCCTGTCGGTGCCCTCCCGGTGCAGGGCTGGGGCATCGCTGGCTCCTGGGTGTGCAAATCCCTGTCATGGATGGGGCCCTGGCAGCCATGTCACCCCCTTGTGCCTCAGTTTCCCCATCAGGAGAGCAGCACTCGGCGCTGTGTCCCTGCAAACCAGGAGCACAAGGGGACTGGGGGAGAAAACACCCCAAAACCATGAAGGGAGCTGTGTGGTGGTTTCAGGGTGCACATGGATCCCTGTGCTGTGCCTGGAGGCTGAGCTGGCTTGGGAGGTGGGATACCCTCCCTGAGCCATCCCAGGAGCTGGGATTTCATTTCTGAGTCGTCCCAGGAGCTGGGATTCCATCCCTGAGCTGCCCCTGGGATTCCACCCCTGAGTTGTCCCTGGGATTCCACCCCTGAGCTGCCCCAGGAGCTGGGATTCCATCCCTGAGCCATCCCAGGAGCTGGGATTCCATCCCTGAGCTGCCTCTGGGATTCCAGCCCTGAGCTGTCCGTGGGATTCCACCCCTGAGCTGCCCCTGGGATTCCCCCCCTGAGCTGCCCGGCAGCCGGATGGGGACAGGAAGGTCACACGAGGCAGCCTGGCTGCCAGGGTCAGCCCCAGCTTTTAATGGACACCCGGGGCTGGTTGTTCAGAAAAGGGGCTTTGTTGCTGCAGCTGGGCCAGAGCCAGAGCCTCTCTGCCCCCCCAGCCCTCGCCTCTCCCTCCGTCCGTCCCCGGGGCTGGCTCAGGCTGTGGCTCSTGAGCAGAAAGGGGCTTTTGTCTGTCCTGCTGTGGGGACAGGGCCCTGTGGGGACGGCAGAGCCATCGGTCCCCGTGGTGGCAGCTCCTGGTGTTGGCTGTCCCAGCCCMAGCCGGGTGTGGCTCCCTCTGTCCYATTTGCTGSGCAGGAATGGAGGGAGGTTTGCCGGGAAGCAGCAGGGTGGTGGCCTTGCTRTGTCCCTGGTGGTCCCTTTCTGTGCCCTCAAGCCCCTGAGGTAYCGTGCCTCAGTTTCCCCCAGCTGATCCCTGGGGCAGTCCCGCAGTGGCTCCAGCTAGGTCACCGGAGGGTCGGATGTCACACGGCTGGTCGCAGAGCTGAGTCTTTCACATCTCCTGGAGCCCGTCCTGCCCCTGGGCTGTGCCCTAACCCTGTCCCYGCTCCTCCCCAGGCGGCCGATGCTGGCGCTACTCAGGCTCCGAGCTGGAAGCTGGATTTCCCAAAAAATGCAGCGCCCTCGGGCTCCCCCGGCACCCGGACACCGCGCTCTACTTCCAGCAGCTCCGGCGCCTGGTGCTCTTCAAAGGCCCCAAATATTTCGTGGTGGCCGAGGAGCCGCTGTCCGTGGAGCCCTACTACCCCCGCAGCCTGCGGGACTGGTCAGGGCTGCCCCCGGCCACGGCCGGAGCGCTCCCGCACCGCGACGGCTCCGTCTACTTCTTCCGCGATGACCACTACTGGAAATTCGACCAGGCGAAGCTGCAGGTGGTGGCCAGCGGCAAATGGGCCACCGAGCTGGCGTGGATGGGCTGCTGGGACGCCAACAGAGAGCARGCTCTCTTCTGATGGGATGGAACTGCGAGGGTTTGGAGCCCGCCTCGCATCCTTCTTTATCTGACTCTGGAATGGTCCTGTTTGAGGATGGTTTGGCTGCCCGTGGATGGCTGGAGCCGCGGGATGGTGGAGCAGCGACCCAGCAGAGCTCAGTGGGACAGGTCTGCCACAGCCAGGTGGGCTGGAGGCTTCGGGACAGTATTTTTGATTTTTTTTAAATACCACCAAAAAAAAAAAAAAAAAAAAAAAAAAAAAAAAAAAAAGGTATAAGCCATGGAGACTGCAAACTCACTGATTTCTGTTCACTTTCAGGATATTGCTACACGTTTTTTTGTTTTTTTTTTTCAAAACAGGACTGGGATTTGGTGATACTTTTTGGTATCTTTGTTGATATTTGTGTATTTCTGCCATTTTCCCAGGATCAGGTGTGGAAGTGTCTCACCACTTCTTGCTTTAGGGTTTTGGACGGTTTTAAATAAGAAACTGAGAACGTTTCCTGCTTAAAACAAAAAAGACAAAGAGACATTTGGACAAACTTTGGGTCCATGTGGAGCCACGTGCAGAGCCCTGGGGATGCTTTGCTGGGCTGTGCTCACATCCCGGGGCTCTGTTCAGCAACAGCTGGAAACGTCACCCAGATTTTGGGGCTGAAAGCAGAGGGATTTGGGGTGGGATCCTCTTTGGGGTGCAGGGAGAGGGGAGGCAGAGCTGAGGTGCTGGCAGGCAGCAGGAGCACTGGATTTGGGATGGGTTTGGGGTGCCTGGGTGTGTTCTCTGCTGTCTGATTAGGGTTGTGCTCCCCTGGCTGCCCTCCTTGCGTGCAGAGGAAACGTCTGCGCTCTGCTGCCCCTACAAGAGATGGGATCAGCGTATCTGTGAGCCCCACCTGCATGAAAGGGGGTGACAAACGGCTGGGGAGGGAGGAGAACAGGACAGGAGGGTGAGCAGGACAGAGGGACATGTCCGTGCATGCAGGGACAGCGTGGCTGCAATTCCTCATTCCTTTCCCAAGGCACACTCCCCACCTGGAAACGCCGCTGGCTCCTGGGCACGGTCACCGTGTGCCAGGGYTGGGGATGGACCTCAGGCTCCCAGGGCTGGAATTCTGTGCCGTTGGTGCTGATCAAGACAAGGCTCAGCTTTATTCGATGGTTTATTTAAACCATTTTTTAAACGGTTCTCGCAGGGCTCAGATCCCAGGTCCTGCTGTGCCATGTCAGGGTGCTGTGCCACCTCTGGGTGCCCTCCTGATGCCAGCAACTTCCAAGGCTCCTCTCTCACTCACCTTTGCCCATCTTAGACCTTCCCTGCAGGCAGGGCTGTTGCTTTTGGTGCTGCCAGGTGCCAGCAGAGCTGTGGGTCTGGCATGATGGAGCCCCACCATCCTTCCCACTCTGCAATATTTGTGAGTGAGCCCTTCACGTGCAGAGACACAGACACAGGGTCTTCATCAGCTCAAAACCTCAGGGGACTTTCCACGTTGCCAAAGAAATGGGGCCGCAGCGTTTTCATCGGGATCGAGTGGTAATAAGGTCGCCTGCAGGGAGTCCCGAGGGCTTGGAGACCTGACAGCAAATAAAACCAGCCTCTGGATATGTGGTGTTGGGATCTGGGCTTGTTTTCGTGTCACATTTGGTGTGGGGTTTGTTTYTTTAAGGCAAATCTCCGGTTTCCTGACAGGTCTGTGTTTAAGATGCCTGTGGGTGTTTGGGGTTGGAGTTGGGATTGCTGAATTTGGCCTCAGCTTTGGTGTTTGATGGATCAAAGAGGCAGAAGGATCCCACTGAAAACTCACTGATGGTGATGGAAATGTGAAAATTTTCTTCCCTGTTTCAGCCCCAAATTACTGTGAGGATTTTTCCACGCTTTGGGATGTATCAATAATTTTTTTCCCCAGGCTGAACTCATTCATTATCCCTTTTGCGGTTCCCTTAGGAGAAAGCCAGGCATCCCATCTGCTGTGGGGCTGGAAGATGGRACAGCCTCAAATCCTCTCCCCTTTTTGGGTTTTCCTTCTCCTCTCGTGTGTTTCCCGTGTCCTGTGGGATGCCTCAGGGCCCTGTGATGCTGCCAGGGTTGGGGCTGAGCTCAGAATTTTGGGGTCACTCTGCTGTGTCACCGGTACCCCATCAATTTGGGGGTCTGGGGGAGGAGAACTCACACCCTGAGCTGTTCAATCCACCCCACTGGATGGAAATTCAGCTTCTCAAGGGTCCTTTTCTTGAACTGGGCTCCCTGGCTGGGCACGCTGGTGCAGACTCCTCCAGCCTGCCATGCATTCCCCAGACAGAATAGCTGGGATTCTTGCATTCCCTCCCCCAAAATGACCCCAGCCGGACAGTGACCTGCAGTGACATCAGCAGCTGGCTGAGGATGGCTCCCCCAGCACAGGGGGAAGCCCCCAAAGCCCACAGAAGTCTCTGTTTTGGTCCTGAGAGGCGAACACCTCCCCAGTAAATTTGTTTTCTGCAGAAGCACCTGGGTGCTGTGGCAGCTCTGCAAGCCCTGGGCTAGGGAGGGAGTATCCCACATTCCCAGAGGTGCCCACTCACGGGCAGTTTCGTCCTTAAAGCCCCAATTCCTGGAGTCACTCCATCCCTGGAGGAGCTTGGCTTTTGCCAAAGGCCTCGCTGCTGTRGGCAGTTTGGGAAGGAGTTTGTGAGTGAGCACAGAGCAGAGAAAACCCAAAGGCGGGTGAGCAAATAAACCCTTCTCACCTTGTCATTGCCCTGAGGATGCACCCGGTGGCTCTCAGGTAACCTCACCTGCAGTGGAGGTGRGTGTTGGGGTGTTGGGAAGGGGGAAAATCCCTCTCATGTGGTTGGGAGCARGTTGGGTGCCCAAGAGCTGCTCTGTAACTCCTCCCCAGCAGGGACCTCGGGGAAAATCCACCCCTGCATGGCTGGGGAKGAGCAGGGCTGCGGCAGAGCAGCGGGCACTCAAGGGTTAACAGGGAGTGTTTGCAGCCAGTCCCTTGTCACCAAGGAGCGGGGATCAGCGCTTGGGGAAGAAACAAAACACCCACTGCTTTCCTTTCCCGAGGGMTCTGGAACTGCAGGACAGTGTCACCACCCCGGGTGGCACCAGGTGCGTGTGGCTGCCGGAGAGGTGGCCGGGGACACRGCTGGGGCAGCTCCCCGTGTCCCCATGGTCCCTTTCCCTGCCCCTGGTCGCAGTCTTATGGCAGGATGTGGGGGACGCCGGGCACGGGGGCGCGGAGCATCCGCCCCTACAGCTCCAGCGAGCAGTACCTGTACGCCATGAAGGAGGACCTGGCCGAGTGGCTCAAGGAGCTGCACGGCCTCAACATCGAGGTGGGCACCTTCGTGGAGGTGCTGGAGACGGGGGCCGTGCTCTGCTCCCACGCCAACCACGTCACCCAGGTGGCCGGCGAGTTCGCCCGCGCCCGCCCCGAGGTGGCCCRGCACCTCCGCCTGCCCACCGCCGGCGTCGCCTGCAACCTGACGGCACAGCCGGGCACCTTCCAGGCCAGGGACAACGTCTCCAACTTCATCCAGTGGTGCAGGAAGGAGATGGATATCAAAGGTAGGATGCCAGGCTCCARTTGCCCCRCGTCTCYAKGTGAAAGTCCCCTCAGCTTTTCCAYGTTTTCCCACGTGTCCCCAAATCCAGTGCCACCCTGGCATGGCACAGCACCATGTGCACGCAACCCTGAGCTGGCATTCCTTGTAGAAGCTCCTCCAGGTTGGCAGCAGCTTTGGAGWGTTTGCTTGGGTGCAACTGTGCACCGGGGGAATGGAAAAGGAAAGGGTGGGTGGCACAGGGAGTCCCTGCCAGGCACGGCGTGATCCCAGCCCTAAGGACAGCAGGACAARTCCTGCCTCTGAGCCGAGCATCTGTCACCTTGTCCCAGCACCTGTGGATGCCCRGGAAGGGGAACGGCACAGAGTTCAGGCCATTTCCTGAGTTTTGTCACGAAATAGCTGTAAATGCCCAAAAGGAAAAACTCTTCCTCCTTTAATTCATCCCAACCCTTATTGAACCCAACCGTATTCCTGGTGGGATGGCTGCAGTGAATAAACACCCTTTAGGGTGGGTTTTAACTCCCCACGCGCCAGCCCTGGCTCAGCCCTGCCCCGCCCCAGATGTCCTGATGTTCGAGACAGAGGACCTGGTGCTGCGGAAGAACGAGAAGAACTTCGTGCTGTGCCTGCTGGAGCTGGCGCGCCACGCTTCGCGCTTCGGGCTGCGCGCCCCGACCCTGGTGCAGATGGAGGAGGAGATCGAGGAGGAGMTCCGGCAGGAGCTGGACCTGCCCCCCGCAGACCCCGCCCTGCCCCGGCCCCCCAGAAAACCACGGGACCTCCACAACCTCGACCGGATGGTGCGGAGGGGAATGGGGYGGGGTGGAGGTGGGCACGGAGGTGATGGGGACGGGCACGCTGAGGACCCATCCCTGCTGCCCACAGGTGCAGCACCTGGTGAGCCGCTGTACCTGCCCCGTGCAGTTCCCCATGATCAAGATCTCCGAAGGGAAATACCGGGTGGGAGACTCGGACACCCTCATCTTTGTCAGGGTGAGTCTGCTTCGCCCTGCGCTTTTGGGGGAAAAGCATCAGGAATTCTGCTCTGCTGCCATGAACCCGCTTCTCTAATCCCTCAAATGGGGCCAGTGTGGGACTTCTGACCCACAAAGAAGAGTATCCTTGAGCTCAGCCCTGAGATTGGTGTTTGTATGGATTTAACCATCCGTGTGTATGGGACAAACCCCSATATYCCACYGAGCCAAAGCCTGGACTTACCCAGCCATGGGAACTCTGGGATGCTCTGAATCATCCCTAAACCTGACCGTAGAGCTCAGCACATGGCGAAGGACAGGGATTTTCCAAAAWGGTCCCCACCTTCCTTGTGGTGATGAAATGTCCCTGTCGGGATGGCCGCAGGGGCTGAGCCGGGGACGCCGCTATCCTTGGGGACACCTGGTGGCACTCAGGGCAAGTCCCCAGCTCTCGAGGCCCGGCCGAGCGTGTCACCCCAGCTTTAGGAAGCGCTGGGTGTCCCATGTTGGACCTCTCCTCGCAGATCCTGCGGGAACACGTCATGGTGCGGGTCGGGGGCGGCTGGGACACGCTGGAGCACTACCTGGACAAGCACGACCCGTGTCGCTGCACGTCGCTCTGTGAGTCCCCGCGTCCCCAAACCCCGCGGTTGYTGCTCTCGATGCTTCTCGGGGCCGTTTTCAGGAGCGGGAGGCTTCGGTACAGCCACGCCTCGTTGTTTGGCCGGGCAAAGTCTGGTTTTGGGGACTTTCTTTGGCTTTGGTGGCCACTAGAGGTCATGGAAGGCTTTAGGATGGAGCCGGACCCCAAAAGTCCCTTTGCAAGGAGCGCAGCTTTCTGGGGTGCTGGATGCGGAGCGATGGCTGGGTGGGCTGCACCCGGGGGTGGGTGCGGGGGACGGGGGTGCTGAGCCCCCTCCGTTCTCCCCACAGCTCACAAACAAGCCTGGAAAGCCCGGAGCCCGCAGCRGCAAGTGCAGCACGAGGTGCGGCTRTGCCCGGCCCCGAAGGCGCCCGCCCGTAGCCCCCAGCCCTCGCTGCTGGTCAGCCGCTCCCAGAGCCCCCTGCCCCCGGTCACCTGGGGGGGCTCGGGTCCCCAGCCGGGTGCCAGCCCCCCCCGGGAGCCCCGGAGGGTCCCTTCGGGCAGGTAAGTGCTGCAGACACGCTTCGTGCCCCAGACCGCTTGGTTTCCGAGAAGATTTTCTCACATATTTGCAATTTTTTCCCCCTTCCCTTCTGGCGGTGCCCAGCACCAGGTGGGATGTGGGGGCGGCAGGAGCTCCCTGGCCCCTCTCTTCTCTCTCCTCTCTCCTTGTAGGATCCAGGAGCCACTCGCTGTCCCTTCGGGGAGGCAGCCGCCACCATCCCTGTCACCCGCTCGGTCCAGCTCCCCCGGGCTCGGAGCGAGGGGTCGGGCACCCACCCCCTCCCGCCTGAGCGTCCCGAACGGCCCGGGGGTCCCCAGGGCACCRCAAGGGACCAGCGCGGGGAAAACCCCCCCGGTGGCACCGGCCCGGGGCAGGACCGCAGCACCCAGCCCTCGGACCGTGCCGGCACCTCCGAGAAACACCCAGCAAGGAGGAAAATCATCTGTGGTGGCTGCCAGGCCACTGGAAACGGGGACACCCGCTGCAGTGACACTCCGTGCCTCGAGCCCCTCCAAGATCCGTGCCCCGAGTCCCTCAAAGATCCGTGCCCCGAGTCCCTCCAAGATCCGTGCCCCCAGCCCCTCAAAGATCCGTGCCCCCTCCTCGCACCGAGATGCCCCGGGACACTCAGGGAGCCAGAAAAGCCAAGGGGAAGGGAAGCAGGCAGCCCTTGGCCTGGGCCGGCATTCCTCACTCCGGAATTGCTCCAGCCAGCCCCCGAAACTGGACAGCAGCGTTAAATCCCCCACCAAAGGCAGCCCCGCAACCTCCCGGCCCCCCACACCTCTGGCCCGTTCTGCAGAGGGGTGCAAGGTCTGCGCTGCGGGGAGGGGGACCCAGGGGACACGGCAGTGCCACCCAGCCCCGACCCCAAGGGCTGAGGGTGCTGAGCGACCTCGGGGGCCAGCGGGTGAAGCCGGGGGAGTTTGTTGCCCTGGAAATGGGAGCCAGGGCCTCCGGAGGTGCTGGGAGAACGCGCAGCCCCCCGGCTATGACAGGGTGGTGGAGGAGCTCTCCCGCGGGCTGCAGCCCCTGCGCCCCGTGGGGAYGGGGAGCCAGGTCCCCAAAACCGCCGCAGGAGCTGCCCCAGAGCCCAGCACCCTCCGAGCCCCGGGGGAGGCACAGGGTGGGGGCCAGACCCCGCGGGGAGCAAGGACCAGCAACGCCCCCAAGCCCCGGCGGTGCCTGAAGAAGCCCGAGCGAGTGCCCTCCATCTACAAACTGAAGCTGCGGCCCAAGGTGCGGCCCCGGCGGGACCACAGGCCGGGCAAACGCCCTTCGCGCATCCCCACCCCGCTGGGGCATCGCCCCCCTGCCCCTCGGGGCCAACACCGCCCCCCGGGACCCCCCCGAGCCCCCCAGACCAGCAGCGCTCGCCCCACGGCCAAACCCTCCCTGGGGGACAGCGGTGCCTGGCTGAGCGAGGATGATGAGGAGTCGTGGGTCTGAGCCCACCCCGACGGACAGACGGACACACAGACCCCTCCCTCCAAAGCGGGGAGCGATGCTGAGGCCGGAGCTGCAGTGCCCGAGGTTTCCAAGGGCGGCACGATGGGATTGCTCCCCAAAAACCACGGGGTCTCACCTCGCTCTTTGGAGCTTTGGATTTTTTTTTTTTYCTACTGGYAATTCTCCTGYTAAACAGGCACWTTTTTTTTACTGTTTGGGTGGGAAAATCCAGCCCCAAATAGAGGACRGGACGTTTTCTGCAGGAGGAGGGGTGTAGCTTCCTCTAAAGTGGGGCCACCCCACTCTGACATCCATCCAGACCTCAACATTCCCCCGGACCAGCAAGCCTCCAGGACAGCTTGGGTCACTCAGGTCACTCGGGCACAGGAGGGGACCTTTGCTGACCCCTGTGGCAGAGCCAGGGTGCCCACGGTCCCCTCTGGGGTGACGGATGTCACCGAGGGTCACAGAGGAGCTGCTGCACGGACCCAGCGATGCTCTTTGTGCAATAGAGATCTACCAAAGCTCTGCTCCTCAATTTCCACGTATTTGCCGTGTGGGCGGGGAAGGAGGGAGGATAATCCTGATGTGGGCACAGCAAACGTCCCCCTGAGAGCCCCACAAAGCCCAGGAGAGCCCCATTTTCCAAGAAAGAATGAAGCCAGCCCCGCTCCTCTGCAGAGGAGCAGCAAATGTGAGCGCTGGGACTCCAGGGATGCAAAAACCTGCTGGCAAAAACACTCCTGAGGCGGGTACGGAACAAGGGGGACAGACCTGATTTTTAATTCARTTTCAAAGGAGGAGGCGCAGGGCGTCACAGGCGGTGTAGACACCTCGGGAATCTCCGACAAGAAGTCCAGAGGGGAAAAGGAAAGCCAAGTCCAGGCAAYCGGGATGCTGAGAGGGGCRGGAGGAGGAGGAGAGGGRCAGGGAAGATCCTTGGTGGGGCCGAACCGAACCCAGGCATGGCCTCCATGAGCACGGGGGGCACAAACCCGGCACCGTGGGGACACAGCAGAGGGGACATCCCCACCTGGCCCAGGCCCAGGGTGTTTGCAGCAGGACCAGGCTGGCGCTGGCTGAGGGGAACTCTGTAGTAAGGTGTGAGTAGGACCGCGGGGTGCTCGTGGGTCCCGATTCCCACGCCTGGATGGTCCTGCCTGGGGTTCCCTGCCTGCACCCAGGGTGCCACAACCACCACCACCACCACCTAAACCTTCCTGGGCTCTTGGGAAAGGAGCTCTTTGTAGCCCTCATTTTCCCGGGAGCTGGGAAATTCCGYTGAAGCAGTGAGAGTCGTTATTATTATTACTAATATAACTTCCTCTGTCTATAAAGTACAGTAGAATATAACAATTATATTTATAACTTTTTTTCTTTTTTTTTTTCTTCAAAATATTAAATAGACGCTATAAAAACCTGTAACTAATTGTGCTATAAACTGCAGGCTACAGGGTTGTAACAAACAATGTATTGGCTTAGTCGTTGATATGTGTACGTCGGAGCACTTCATAAATGCTTTATTATCAGCATTTACCCGGGAATTTCCTTCTCAGACGATTTGGAGGGATAAAGCTCTAGCCAGAGATCGATAAGTGGACTTCCAGGTGTTAATAAATCCTGACGGGATGAGCTCGGGCGGGGAAGCCGGGTTTGCCGTGAAGGCGAGGGGTGGTGACAAGTGCCACTGCCCTTCCCAGCTGAGACAGTCCCGTGTCCCCGCATTGCTTTTCCTATTATTTTCCCTCTTTTTTTTTTTTTTTTTTTTTTAATTTTTGAGCGAGAGAGGGAGGAGCAGGATGCCCCCCTGCCTGGAGCAGGGATGGGGCGGTGAGAGGCGCCGTGCTGGAGCTCGGTTGGGAAATGGGAAGCGTTTCCAAGAGCACAGCGGTGACACCTGGCTGTGGTGGCAGAGAGGAGTGGGTGTCCTGCTTTGCTGTCCTGTTTTGCTGTCCTGCTTTGCTGCCCAGATCCCTCCAGCTCCTCGTTACAGCAGGAATCTCGGAGATGGTGTTTTTGGAGGATGGATCAGACATAGATCCTGCCTCAGGAGGTGAGGATGGTGTTTCTCTGAGCTCACAGAGAGAAGCCACGAAGAAACCCTGAATCCCTCGGCCTCTTGCTCACCTTTCACCACCCCATCATCATTTCCTTTGAGGGGCTGCCCTTCACCACCTGCCCTGCAGGGGAGCTGCAAGTCTGCTGCCAAATTAACCAAAAAATTGAAATAAAATAAAAATAAAATAATAATTAAAAAAAATATATTCACTTTCCTATTAGGGATATGCAGAGAGGAAAAGAAGACCCCAAGAAAGCAACYGGAAATGCTGCTCCAGCTCCCTATTGCTGCCGAGGCCGCGTCCCACGGGGATGGAGGTGACATCCCCGCGGGCAGACCCGGCGGGGGCGCACCTGGTGGCACTGCCGGTGGCTGCGGTGACACAGGGGCTGCCCACCTGCAGGGACACCCCGCGGGTTTGGGGTGAAGCCGTGCAAAGCCGGTCACCTGCTGAGCCCAGGACGAGAGGTAGCAGAGGGGTGACCTGCCCGGCGAGGAGCGTTCCCGGGTTTTTTGGTGTTCACAGGCTGGGGGTGGAGGAGGAGGAGCCTTCCCGGGCTGTTCTGGGGTGGAGGGGAGCTCAGAGCCCTGGGAAGGCAGCACCCAGCATCCTGGGGATGCAAGGAGCAGATTRGGATTTATTTTATTTTCCCCCTTCCTTGCTTTCATCCAGAAATTCCACCTGGAAATCCGGCCCAGCCGAGCCAAAACTCAGCTCAAAATCCAATCCTGCCGGGGGCTGCTCTGTGTCTCAAAGCGAGAAATCCCAGCTCCTCAAGGCGAAAAGCAGGACTGCAGTGGCCCAGAGATGCAGCCGCTGGGTAATTCCCTTGCAGGGGCAGCAGCGAGGATGGAGCCGGCAGCCAAAATCTGGGAATCCTCGAGTCTCAACCTCCACCCCCCAGCGCCTGCACAACCCCCGGGATGGCCTCGGGCACCGGAGGTTTGGGAAGAGCTCCCGGATTTAGCTCCCCTCGCCACCTCCAGGCAGCCCGGCCACCACCCCGCTCCAGCCTGGCCACCCCGCCCCAGGTGCCCCGTCCCCAAATGTCCCCGCAGGAGAGGCCAACGCCACAAGGTGCCTCCAGCACCGCTCCCACCGCCCGGAGAGCGGACACGCCGGCGGGCCCCGAGGATGGGTGACCACGGAGAATGGGTGACCACGGAGAATGGGTGACCACAGCGGCCCGGCCGGGGGTCCCTTAGGGGCGGGGGGCGCTCACATGATGGTGCAGCGGTTCCTGCGCAGGGCGCCCTGGAAGCGGATGGTGGTGTGGACGTGCTTGCAGCGGGCGCAGCCCACGCTCTTGAGGAGCTCGCTGAAGAGCAGCAGGATGTGCCAGTTGTACTTGGCCGAGCACTCGATGTAGCCGCACTTCCACGTCTTCTTCACCAGGTTGGAGACGTTCCAGCGCGGGATCACCCGGCCCCGCTGCAGGTCCCGCTTGTTGCCCACGATGATGATGGGCGTCTCCGAGGTGCCGATGACCCTGCGGAGGGGACGGGGCACGGTGACAATCCGCCAACCCACACAGTCTGCCCTGTCCCCTTGTCCTTGTCACCCCCCGTGTCACCTCCAGCTGTTCTGCCCTTGCCCACAGGGGACGCCTGCCTGAAGTCGCGCTCTKCTGTTGGATTTCGGGCTCCCAGCCCTGCAAAGGGGCTTTGTGCCAGTCTAAAATCCCATCACCGATGCCAAGATGTGCCCCTTTGATGCTGTACGAGCCACGGGACTGCACCAGCAGGGGCAGAAGGCGTCCCTACCTTGTTTCCAGGATCTGCTGGCGGATGGTTTTGATGTACTCGAAGCTGTCAAAGCAACAGATGTCATAGACCAGGATGTAGGCATGGACGCTCCGGAGCCCCCTGCAACACACGTCCGCCCACTCCTGCAAGGTGCAGAGAGGGATCAATCCTGGCTCAGCCCCGCTGCCGTGCCCGGGGGATGCCCTGCCCTGCCCTGCCCTGCCCTGGGGACCCCAAGGAGGTGCCAGCAGGAAGCAGGGGGGCTGCACGTTCTCCAGCCCAAACATCCAGCACTCACTTCTCTGCCCTGACCCCATCTGTGTCTGCCTCCACAGCTCCTGAGCCCTCCATTCCCCCATCCCCAGAGACCATTCCCCCATCTCGAGATCCCTTATCCCCCTCGTTAATCCGGGGTAGAGCTAACAGGATTTGTCAGTCCCAATTCCACGCCTGATGCTTCCAGGAGCGGGGCTGAATGCAGCCCCCTACCCAGGATGGGAAACCTTCATCTTCCAGAGCTGCTAATTAGCTGTACTAATTAGTGATACATCTTGGGTTTTGGGGCAGGGCTGAAGCCCATCTGAGGTCTGAGGGATCGGCAGCTCCGTGGGTCACAGGGGGAAGGTGACAGCCACTCTGGAGGGGACATGGGGACAGGAGGGGAGCAGTGGCTGCTCGAGGTCTGGGTCTGCAAGAGCAAGATGGGGATCCTGGGCAGAGGCAGGCAGGAGTGGCTTCTCCACAGCCAAAATTTGGAGCTGTAAGAAATTTATGCTGTTAAGGAAATCTTGGGGGTTCTGGGAACAACAGGATTTRTTTCCTGTGCTATAAAATTGAAAATCTGCCTCGCTTCCAGACACTTTCCCATCCCAGCAAAGGACCAGGACCGGGAATGGCAGAACCTGCAGAACCCTCCTGAGTGCTTCGGGAAAGGAGAAAGGTTCTCCAAGGCGAAAAGGCATCACTTCTCCCTGAGCAAACCCCTCCAGAGCCGTGAATCAGCCCTTCCTGAGTKTATCATCGGAATGAGCCAAAATGAGAAGATCTGGGACCAAAGGGAACAGGGAAAAGGGGGGATTTGGGGTGTGGGCTGGTCTCCATCACAGAGGGCAGCACGGAGAGGAGCTGGGAGGGAGCAGAGTGACACAGCCCCTCTCTGGGGACATCTCAGGGCTCAGAGACACCGRAGGATGGAGCAGCAGCCTCTGGGCTGCTCTGAGTCCTGACAGCGCTGGCAGACGGACAAACGGCAGCGATTTCACCGCGCTGGGGGCAGCTCGCTCCGGCGCTGCGGTGTCAGGGTGGTTTTTCTYGTGCAGCGCAGGTTTCCCGGGATGCTGGAGCTGGAGAAGGCTTTGCACTGCGGGAGCAGGATGTCAGAGAGCCCTGGCTCCTGCTGCTCTCCCAGGACAGCACTGCAGGGACGCTGCTGGCACGGAGCTGAGTCCAGCGAGGTTTCCCGGCAGGCAGAGCCGTGTCCCTCCCCACGGAGCTCTCCTTTCCCCTCGGAGCCATCGCTCTGATCGCCCTTTCTTCCCTGGAAACCTCCATCTGTTCCCAGCGGCCGCCTCCTCCCGAGTGCAGCAAGGCAGGGAGTTAATGGGGTGTGTGAGCATCGGCTGCCGTGTCAATAAATTACCCTTTGCTATTTCGGGCTGCTTCTCACGCCGACCTTTCGTTCCCTGCACTCACCCATTAATTTTTAAACCTTCTCCTCTGCCCCGCAGAGCTCTTTTCACCTCCTGCCCGACGGCGCAGGGACTGTTGGAGCACTCCAGGGCCCCCGTGACCCCATTGCCATCGGGCACAGGGACTCTGTGATTAATCGAGGTGGCCCCAGGGGTGGCACTGCCCTCTGGTGCGGCTGCAGCCACAGCCAGGAACCTCCAGCTCCTTCCCCCACAGTGGTGACTCAACTCGTGTCCCTGGGATGGGGGCTGTGGCATGAGCTTTAAATCCCCTTTTCCCCCGTTTAAACCCTGACCTGAAAGTGGTCGGCACTGGTGGCAACACTTTCCAAGCCCACACAGCTTTTTGGGGCTGCTTTGGGGGTAGAGGAGGAGCTGGTGGGTTCAGCACCCCAGGAACAAGCCCGGGCGTTACTGGAGGGGTGACAGCCACTCCCAGGAGGGGACAAGCTCTGCCTGGCTGGGGCAGTGGGTGCATTGGGGTCTGGCTCTCCAGGAACCCCTGGTTTTGACTTCAGTACTCTGATGTTGGCTCTGACAGCCATGGAGCTGGATCCTACTGGATGTGGCTGGATGTGGCTGCTCTTTGGGGTCAGCGCTGTCCCTCTTGAATGTTGTCACCAAACTTTAAACCATAYTTCATCCTGGAGCTGCTCAGCCAGCACCCATGAGGACACAACCCCTCATTTGGCAACCAAACCCTGACGGGAATGGAGAATCATCCTTGGGAAAGGCAGAACCGGGACCCTACGGAGTTTAACAGCAAAACTCCACGGACTTTAACATCAAAATTCCACGGAGTTTAACAGCAAAATCCCAGAGGTCACCGCAGACCCCCGAGGCGGAGGCCCCCTCGGGAGCCCCCCTACCTGCAGGGTGTTGACAGGGAAGGCGGTGATGGGGGGAAAGTCCATGATCTGCAGGTCGTGGACGTGGCCGTTCATGACGACGGCGGGCAGGTAGACGCGGCGGGCCGTGGTGGGCACGCAGACCTCGCTGAACTCGTTGTACAGGAACTGCCGGACTATGGCACTCTTGCCCACGCCCTGGGCTCCCAGCACGGCGATCTTGAAGGTTGCCACCATCCCGCCGCTCGCCGGCCGCTGCCCTGGTGCTGCCCCCGCGGTGCCGAGGCTGCATATTCCCGAGCAGGGGGCCTCAGCCCCATTCAGGATGCATTTCCCCTCCGGGACAGCCCGTCACTGCAARGCCAAGGAGAAGCTGGTCAGGCCCTGGAGACACCCTGGTGTCACACTGGTGCTGCTCCAGGGGATATTTTTTGAAGCAGGAGCTGTCCTTGAGGAGCAGGAGGTGRCAATGTCCCTGGGGATTGCAGGACCTCAGGGTCCCATTTGGAGCTYCCCACCCCAGCGGCCAAAGAGAGCCGAGATTTGAGTAAACTCATCCCAGGAAAATCCTTACAGACACATTCAGCCCTTGCAGCACCAGAGCARGGAAATCTCCTGGAAATCTCTGTCTGCGGCTTGGGGTTTGCTCAGCCCGGCAGCAKCAGCGTCCCAGGCTGTTCTGGGGASTCATTTCACAGCACCCATGGGSGCTGTCACCAGCTRCTCCTTCCCGGTGCTGCCCCGAGCCGGGGAATCCATCTTCGCTGCGTTTGGACAGCCGGAATTGCCTTTTGCGGGGCGGGGGGAGATCGCTCTGCGCCTGCGAGCGACAGCTTTAATCTTTCGCTTCAGGCTTTGAGCGCTTGGGCAATTAACTTGATGGGGACTCATTAGCCAGCCAGCTGACAGGGGTGAGCCCAGAGCCACCGCCACGCGTGCTGAGGGGCCCCGGGGAAGGGCCACGSGTGTGGGGACACACGGGGTGATAACCCACACCTGGGGATGTGGGAATGGGTCTGAGGAGCCCAAACACCCGCTGGCACCGGGCTCCCGACCAGGAGCGGCAATGGGGACAGCAAGGGCGAGGGGATGGATCCCACTCCTGCTCGCTCTCCTCACTGAATCTTGTGCGTTATCCCAAAGTGTGGAGCTTYGACCAATTTGTGATGCTCTGGTCCATTTTCCCTAAAAACCTTCCCCGAAGAGCAGGGCAGCAGCAGAAAGTGTCAGGTTCAAAGAGCCTGCTCAGCCGGTTTCATGGAGATTCTTTACCCCAGGGGGAGCCTGGGCACAGAGATTGCCACTGCTGGGTGCTGGAGTGTCCAAGCTTCCCAGGGCCGTGGCTCACACCATCCTCACCCCCTGACCCCAGGACTGGGGGCTCTGTCCCCCTGTGCTGCTGGCACTGTTCCCCGGGGTGCCGGCTGTCCCCAGCCCCGCAGCGGGGCAGTTTCTGTGCCAGCAGCACGGAACGGGAGGTGCAGGAGCCCCCRGGCCCGACCCTGCCGGGCCCCTTCTCCAGCAGCGGACAGCACTGTCATTGCAGGTCCCGGGGGCCACTCTKCTGCAGGGACAACCCCGGCCCCACAAACCCTTCCCCCTGACAGCAGCATCCCCAGCTCCTCTGCGGGCCGGAGGGTGATGGAGCGGCACAACTGCAAACCCAGCGCCGGCAGGGCTCCCYGGAATTGGGGCACGGGCTGAGCCCCGCTGTGCCTCTCCCAGAATCTCCTCCCCTCTGTGCTGGCACACGGTGACCACGCACCCCAAAACCATCACGGGCCGACCTGATGCTCCCCGGCCCTACAAGCAGCCGCCGTGGGAAACTGAGGCGCAGCGGGGGGACCCTTCAGGGCACCCCACGGTGCGGTGGCGGAGCAGGGAGCAGCCGCGGTCCCCTCAGCACCAGGCCGGGCTCCGCGGGCTGCAGGGCCGGGCGGGGGCTCGCAGGGGGCTCCCGGGAAAGGATGCTCCGGCCCCCGCTGCGACCTTGGCCACCCCGCCACGCCGGGGGCACTGGAAGGAGCAAGCCCTGAGCCCCGCGGGGCGGGGGCGGCAGCAGCACCCCACACCCCACATCCTGCATCCCGCACACCCCGCATCCGGCACCCCCCGCATCCCGACCCTCCGGGGATGCTCCGGCCGCGGTGGGCAGCGCAGCAGCGCCGGCCCGCGGGGTTGTTGGGGCTGGAGGTGATCGGGGATGCCGGGGGGAAGGACGATACCCGCCCCCCCGTGCCGGCGGGAGAAGGGGAGCGGGGAGCACCGGCGCTCAACTTTCGCTGGGGACCCCCTTGTCCCCCAATCCCGGCCACCCCCCCCCGGC